CCCTTTTTTTTCAATAATGGGGGGGGGGGGGGGGGGTTATTGAGAAATTAGGTAACATTTTTATTGCTATTGTTGTATTACAGCACCTCCAATAGTAATTGGGACTTCTTATGATAGAAACTTCATTTACTTTTTGTATATACACTTTGCCACTAAGAACTTAGAATCTAAATGGGCAATGGGTAGAACAAAAGATTTCTCCTGTTCTGAGATCCCCATTAACTGAGATATGACACTGCATTTTTGGGGCAGATCTGGGAACTAGACCCAGATCCAGGGCTTTTAACCAATTTCCTTGCTGAAAGTGGGTAGCCCTTTCCTTGAAAAATTAGCAATCGCCCCCTCCCCATTTTCTACCATCTTCTTTTCAACAAGGAGCATTGTTCCTTCAGCATGTAACACTGCCATACATTTGAGAGTATCATTCCCAGCTACACACTCTTTTTCGCTATTAATGAAGCATTAATATCTTCCCAAGTGCCAAAGTATACAACCGAATGTAAATATAACCTGCACTAATTATAGCCTGGGAACTTATTTAAAAATAGAGATTGGATATTTTCTCACAAATGTGTGCATTTTACTGAATCTTCAGGAAAATAAATATATTTCATAATAATTCTTGACCACTGAGTGGACCCAGACCTAAGGACAGATTTTAAACTCATCTTACTTCATCAGTCTGATATTTGTTTTCCTTTTACACCTCACACAGAGAAGTAATTGGATGAAAGTAAGGACTGAAATAAAAGAGATTTTTGGCTTTAAACTAGTTTTAGTGAGAATCCCAGCAATAACAAATTGATCTTATAAATGCAGGCGCAATACCCTTGCTGGTTTATTACTTTGGGTTTGGGCAGGGAAATATGGATACCAAGACTGGAATCTTTAAGAGGACATGGGAGAGTTAGACACCCAAATCTTACTGGAAGTTGATGAGTCATTTAATTTCCTTGGGTTCCTTTGAAATTCTAAGTCAGAGCGTGATCCAGACAAGTTCTTACCCATTTCACCAGGCATGGGAAAATAGAGATTCACCATCTCTTCAAACTTCTCCAGCATTGTATGTGCTTTATTTGTGTCCTTTAGACTCGATCGTGATTCTGCAACAGGGGTCATGCTATTGGTTGAGTCTGGTTTGGCTGTCTCCAAGCTGTCATAGAGGTGTGCATCTTTGGTCAGGTCCATCACTCCCATTGTTCTGATGGTTGTTATCTTTGCATCTGTCACTTGAGAAGACATGAGATCCTTGATATCTGAAACCACCTGAGAAAAAAAGTAGTTGGTGGAATGACTGTTTTACACAACAGAAAAAAGAAGACTTGGAGCACAGATTTCAAACTTTGATTCCCAAATGGTGGCTCCTAAACTTACATTTAGGCTTCTAGTGAGGTGGCATGACCTTTTAAAGTACAAAACACAAAGAAACTCCATTTTTGGCATAAGGTACCAGCTCAAACTAAAAGAACTATCGAGTCCTGAATGGCTATCATGCTCTATTTATTGCAAGATCTAATCTTCCAATAGAAAATCATTCAATTTAAAGAACCACATTTCTCAAAAACTGGAGCTTATCTGGGCCATCCAATTCAATCCGTCCTTTCCTAGTTTACAGTAAATGGAAAATGTGAGTGTACTTACTATTATTATCCTTACAATTATGCAGTTTGAAACAATGTGGATTATATGTTCTTGACCTGTAACTTCATTTTATGCAGATTTTATAAGAGTTCAGAAGCAAAATAATTTTTTATATATCCTTTGATCCAGTATGCTTGGAAAAAAAGGCTACAGCCATTAATCCACTATGGGGCCATGCAGCTGCTTACACAACTCTAGTTACTCTTGCTGATAAAGCAAACCACAGCTTTCACTTCTAAGGAGTTTTTAATAGAATAAAAATATAACCTGATCAGGTGTTTGATGAACGACAGGCAGCTCTTCCTCTACTGAATCTAGAGCTTTAGAGAGAATGCAAATTATTTTCTTGAATCTTTTCAGTCTTAGAAAGATTAAATTATGCTTTTGTGTCATAGTCCTCAGATCATCCCTCTCAAGTAGAGAGAGAGAGAGAGGTTTATTTAACAGCCAGTTTCAGAGGGTGAGACTACAGAGAGATTCCACAGCATCTAAGCATGTCACTCTGCACTGAATGAGTGCTTTCCCCGTGACTTTTTTGAGTTATGCTTCCCATTCCCACAGACAAAAACTTCTCTGTCCCACTTTACTCACTCTGATGTTCATGTGGAGTCAGAATTGGCTGTGCTCTGATGACTGTAACATTAGTGTTGATCTTCATTCCTTTCTTTGCCCCAGTGCACATAGATTTGAGGCATGAGTGGGTTTTTTTGATGGCGGTGTATTTAAAAGAAACCAAGTGACGGACAGAGTTAATGAAGGGTGGACCATTCACCTTCTTGAAGACATCTGTCTGAGGCAAAACAGGAAAAGCACATCAGCTGAGAAGTAAAGCCGATGCTGAGAAGGATCTACTTGGCTTTCCAAAGGGTTAAGACAGATTCTCAGCTGCCTTAAATGGCTTAGCTTCAGTGAAGTCAATGAGGCTATGCTAACAGCACACCAGCTCTGAATATGTTCCTTAGTATTCTGGTGCTGTAAAGGAATAGAAATCCTATCTATACGCAGAGAAAATCAGAACCCATTGCTTTCAGCTACTGTTTTAAGGCATGTCCTTTTAAACTAGGTAAATCAGTTGTTCTCAACTTTGTTAGACCCACAGCATGCCTTGGAAAATGTCAGCATTTAGTTTTCACACATTTTTGACCACAGAAAAAATAATAAAATTATTCTTTGGTTGCAAAGAACTCAGAAAGACCAAAGCAGGTTAGCAGGTTTTTGACATTAAGGATTTCTATTTAAATCTCTAGGTTTCTCTTGTGACTCCTGTTTACATACCTAACAGTGCTTGCATTATGTGACATCCCACAGCACCTTTCTAGCAAATCACTGCAATAAACTGCGAAGCGTAATAAAGTGACTTCCATACAATAAAAACAATAGGTTTGTACACTGAAGAGATATGAAAATTATTACTAATTTTTCCTCACCCTCCTAAGTGCATTTGAGTGTCAGCCCAGTTTTACCTGGTTGCTAGAAAGCAAATGAGGCAAAATCAAAGGTGCCTTTTACCCTCTCTCTCTGCGGGGTATGCAACTGGGGAGGGGAGTGGGGCAAGGAGCGCAATCTGCAGCATGGGTGCCACAAATGACACTAGCAGCCTCTGTGTGTGGGACATGTGGCAAATAGAGCAGGAAACAGCAACCAGGGCATCAGATCAGGCATGGAACACAGGGCAAAGCAGAAACCAGAATATTTGATCAGGAATAGAGCACAAGGCAGGAAGAAGAAAGCTGAGCCATACATTGGGTAAGAGAAAGGGATCAAGTGGCACTTGGGCAGGGTGCAGGACTCATTTGTGGCACGTCTGCCAAAAAACAGTAGCCCCCACTGATGTGAAATATTTAATCATGACTGTTCCTAGTATGAAGTGTTTCACATCTGATGAGTTTAGTAACTGAAATGAGAAATAATTGTTTTCCATGTATTGCATCTTTAAGACTGTAACTCTGCTCATTTTGGAGGGGAGAAGGGATATGGGGAGTTTGTGGGGTAACTGCCATGTTATATGTCATTTTAGATGCAGAGTGTTACAGAGCAAGTGAATATGTTCATTTTCTGACACAGTGCCCTGATTCACTGCTCATTGTATCAGTTTTACATTATACTATGTCTACGCTAGCATTACTGATTAACAAAGTGAGAAAACAGACCATTTTTAATTATTTTTGCATAGGGGGAAAACATAACTGAGATCAGCATTGTAGACCTGAATGGCTATTTAAAATAGTGATAACATCCTAGTTTCCACAAAATACAAATCCCTTGGAACTAACTGAGCAATTGCTAGGCACAACTTTTGATTTCTCCATGTTCTGCTTGATATGTGTCATCAGAAAAGGTAGGGAAGGCTGCCAGGTGTCATTTCATTTTGTTATTTTTACCCCTTAAGCTGGGTCAGTTCCTCAGCCAGTAGCAACTAACAGGCCTTCTAGTTTAAATGTGCGGGGAACAGTTCCTGTTATCTTCCAGCTGCATGAGGAATGTGAATTCAGCATTTGTGCACACTTAGTTCTGGACTCATTTGAGTACCCAGGGAGATTTCTCAACATATTTGTGTAGAGTGTCCTGAATTATCTGCAGGTTGGTGCCTACTAGTGAAAATCAATAACCCACCTGCTGACCCCCACATTCCTTCTGGATGTACTCACCTGCTTCTTCTGTTCCCAGTTTTCTGAGCAAGGCATGTTTAGTCTGGCCTTCTTGGAAGACATGGTTCCACTGGTTGTAACTGAAAGCTCAGAGACACAACAGTGCTGTATCAGGATGGTAATGGGGTTTCAGGTTATACAAAGAATGGGAAATCTCTCAGAAAAATTTAAAATTTTACATGAAGAGGCACCCTCATTTTTGAGACAGAAAATCTACAGTAATTCTACTGAAGTTAATGTGCCACGCTGTCTCTCTTGCAGACAAGCAAAGAGAGAGAGAGAGAGACTTACTCTACAAAGAGCTCCAAGAAAGTGTGACAACCTTATTGTCTGTATTAAGTTACACTAACCAAGGCACTGAAGAGGAAAGTGGATGGGTCATGATATCATGAATTAGTCTGAGAGATCAAAAAAATTCAAGGTTTTTTTTTCCCCCCAGGCAAGATTCAACAATTCTGGGTTCTGTAAAACAATTTAAATTAGAGCCCTAGGCTATAATTATGCAACGGCATTTAAGATGCATTTGTATCTGCTGGTACCCTCTGCTCCTATTCAGTTTCAAGCACAGAAAAAAATTGAGTGTCCAAGACCTAAGTATATCTATAAACTTTACCATCCTCATCAGGCTCACATAAATCACTACTAAAGTGACAGGTATAATGCAAGACAGTTTGTTTCAGCTTAGGGTCAATTAATGCAACCATATATTTCAAGGTGAGATGACTGGATACAACAGGTACAAAATTCCTCCCTTTTGCGTTGGTCTCTGATCTCCCATCATTTTCCCTTGGCACAGTTCTGAGTCTCAATGGCCCAATCATAAAACCATCCTCCCAGATCTACTGAGTAAAAATCAATGGTTCTGATTACCTGCCAGTAGGAGACAGGAAGTCTGCTTTCATCTTTGGAAGGAAGACTACAGTTAACCAGAATTTTAAAAGCCTGGCAATCAACACTTGTGAGGTAGTTATACATTATTATAGAGAAGAAAATTCGGCCTCTCATTGGTCAAAAATAGTCATGTGACAAATTGTGGCATTTTCATTGTTTACCTTTAGCAGTAAACACTAAGGAAGGAGCAATGCCAACCAATCAAATCATCTATGCAAATGACTATTATAATTTTCCCTGGATACGTTCAGTTACCTCTAAGCCAATCAGCTAATTTATGTAAATAAGTAACTCCCTATTGGGTCACAGGTGAATAGTTTTTTGCTCTCTCAACCTTTATTTTAGTTTTCCTCCATAGCTGCAGTTTGAGGAAAAGTCATAATCCTGTGGTTTCAGAAATATGTTGATATTTCTTGATGATAATCTCATATTTCTTAGAAAACCCCAATGTGAATGTATTGCTACATATATTTCTATGATCCCTAATTACCCACCAGGGCAGGAAACTTTTGATATTCCCTAAATAAATACATTTTTATATTTATATGCCTAGTAGTTTATTTTAATTGGAGGTAAACTAAAGTAGCTGGAGGCTGGGTGTGGGCCGTTAATTTAACACGTCAAGGAAACCACAACCCCGCTTGGACTGATGTTATTCGCTGCAAGGCATTTTCAGAGGGTAAGAACTCAGGTCTTGCTTATATTGAGTAATACCTATGGAATGGATGCATATATACCCCATGTCCAGTAAAAAAAAGTGTACTGCCTGGCATATAAACAAGCCATATTTGTAGCATGCAAAAACAATTTAAAAATTGATCTAAATTAGCTTTTTAGCATTCTCCACACATCCTGACTGAAAGGAGCACCTCAATGACAACACATAGTATATACTTTACAAACATTTGCTATTCATTACATGATCTTAGAACAACAAAACGTAGTTCTCTGCTCTGCTGAAAGAGGCCAAGTGAGGCCTCAGAACTAAGCCCACACTCTTAATGTAAACCAGGACCGTACCAATCCTCCAATATTCATTGTGCATAAGTAAGCAGAGCTCTTTCTGATATTCCACTCTGATTAACAGCTCTGCAAACTTTTAAAAGCTCAGCTGCCAAGTATTAAATTGCACATTGAAAATGTAGCATGCAATTTCAGAGAGTCAAGTTAAGGAACACCATGTTTACCAGCTTCTCCCTCCATTTCAAGGACCAGCAATTCACAGCAACGCTCTTTGTGCTAGTCTTGTTCAGACCTACTTCAAGGGTTCAGACACTTTCATTTGTGAAGTGCCTCCATTCACTATGGCTATTAACCCTGTGTTAACAATCCTTACATCCCAGGAAATGCCCATGGTCTCTCAGCTTTTCAAAGCTCAGTCTCCACCTGATCAGAAATATTCCTTGTTCTTGCCAGAGTTCTGTCCTTCTCAAAAGAAAACATCCTTCTAATGTATCCACAGTTAAGACTACCCTTCTAAATCTAAAGTCACTGTCAGCATCAGAATAACCACCATACTGCCCTCCTGCTCAAAATAATTCTTTCCATTGCGCCATCAGGTTCATTTTGTCCCTTATATCTATTTTTAACATGGCGAATAACTGGTGATATTGCAGCCCTTGGTACATCAGCCACTCTATACTGCAGTTATAGCTTTGATGGGATTTAGCATTATTAGCCTGTTCTAGTGATCTGACACCACACAGATCCACAAGAAATTATTGAAATATTGAGATCTCAAGGTTTCCTAGCATAATGAAGCAGGGGCCTCTGGGTGCTGCAACAACACTGATTGCTTAATTGATTGATTAATGTTGCCATATCTTTCACTAAGGTTCACTGAGATTTGCATCTGACTACAGGATAGCTGAGTATAGCCCTGCACATCTAACATCTCAAGGGCAAAACTATATCAGCTAATCTTGAGCCATAGGTCTTTTCAAGTTGCTGTGCCCCCTCCAGCAAGGGAAGTTAGGGTTCTGTGCCCCTGCCAAGCTCTGTAATCCTATCTCCTAGGTACAGGCCAATGGCCACATGGGTCTACTGTGCCTCCCACTTCTACACAGCAGTGACTGTAGGCAGAGTCACTTAAGCATGATGGAGCTGTTCTAGGAATCGAGCCTATTTTTCACTGTGCCTAAACCCTGTGTTTTTGTTTTAACTGGGTGCTCAAATTAGAACAAGGAGGGGTGATTCAGATGAGATACAGGCAGACCTGAACCTTGATGTGAACTTCTAGCAGCAAGATGTACCAAATGTTCATCTTGCAGTTCATCATTTTTATTTGGAAACGGAAGGATTAGTTAGAGACGGACCTAAACCAAAATCCATACGTGAGTTTGAGCACATCTCTAGTACTAAATATGTATTGTTATGAAAGACTATGCTGGTAGTATATCTGGCCACACTGAAGTAGATGCCTTGTAAGTCTTTCAAGTAATATTGTTACCCCAAAGATTTCAGACCAGAGGTTCTGGCACCATGCCATAATTTAGCTAAGTATTGGTTCAACATCCAGATTTAGATATCTGGTCGTAACCTCCCCATGTACATGGCTCCAATTCTAAACTCTGTAGCTACTGTAATCTTGATCTATAATTGGCCAAACCAGTCCTTGGATCTGAACTTCCTATAACTTGGGGAAAATTTGGAGCTCAGCAGAAATTTTGCAGCTCAGGCCCATTTCTATCCAAGCTCAATCCAAGTCCTAGGGTCTGTCTGAGATGCATTCATCACCAACAAAAAAATATCCTCCACCGTTAGTTTTAACAATTCTGTATCAAGTGGCAAAAGAATTAGATACTCACTCATTCCTTATTTTTCAAAAGCAAAATCCTTTAGAAAAAGACAAGCACACAGAGAAGGCTTATATTATAAGCCATCCGTATCCCTGGTTACCTTTAATGATGATGCTTTTCCAAAAATTAAAAATATATGGGTTTTTAAATAATGATTTGCCCACGTTATTAAAAAAGTGTTGAGTATATTACATACTACAGATCTGCAGCCACAGTGCTTCAAGTCATTTGATTTTTTAACCTTTCATAAACTCTGCTGATAAATTATTCAACCTTAATCCTTATGACAGATAAATTAGAAAATTGACTTTTTTGCCAGGATTTTTGGTAAACGGCTTCAATAAATGCACTGTGTACATTTACAGAACCAGGGGATGAGTCACCTGTTACACGATCAAAACATCCAATTAGAAATGCAATAAGGACAATGTTTGCCCTTCACTTCAGATCTGCTGGCAATCAGATTATTTGTAACTACATTATGTAAATCATATGACTGCATTAACCTTTAGAGATGTTCCTGTACTTTTTTTCACTCACTGGCTCTTCTGGGCATTAACAAAGCTAAGCTTTAGCATGTGTGTTGAAACCTATTTTTTCAACAGGTTATGATTTTAAAAGGATTGCTTCCCCACTTGTGTTCTTCCACCTTCTGAATTCACAAAAGTAGTCCCTCTGAAGCAAAAGAACATAAAACCAGCAGTGCACTCTCATGTCTTCCAAATGCTTAAGGCTAAATTCCTTTAGATGAACTCCAGTGGAGTTGAGAAGCTTTTAAATATTTAAACACAGAAATAAAAGTAGAAACCTCTCTGTTCCTGCTCCCCCTTCCTTTCTAGTCAGTAGGAGAAATTGTTTGAACATCTTATAGCTTATGTGTGTGCATGTATGTGTGATCAAAGGAATTATTGTTACATGTATTTCTGAATGTGGTAAGGTCTATTCACAGTGTAAAAACACAGAACAAAAATCCCAACTCTCTCTCTCGAAACCTTATATTTGCATTATTTTTCCTCAAATTATCTGCAGAATATGAGGAATATTAAGGTAATGAGTATGGGGGAATACACATTTTTGAAATAATCAGTTAAATAATATTCAAGAGAGTTGTAAAGGTTATTTCCTGAAAATTTCTTTTTAGTTGGTTGGTTTATTTATTTATTTTTAATCCCCTGACTTCCAGAGTCTTTTTGCAACTGCTTATAGACTTCTCTGTCTCTCTCCCCCTCTTTCTTTCCTTCTGAAGTAGCATTTCCTTTTTAAACAGGAAAAGAACACTAATGGATGACAAGCTATTTTCTCCATTGTTCATCAGCAGCACTTTTATCTGTCCTATTAGAATCATCAGGCCTTCAAGAAACCACACTATGTTAACCAAAATTGAAAGAATCCTAGAGAACTTGTCTGTTAAGACACCCTAGCCTTTATGATGGATCATAAAGGCAATAAAGAACAAGTAAAGAGGATAAAGCTGACTTGTACCAACTTTTCAGTCTTTTCCACAAAGATCTCTAATATAATCCTTCCATCCATTCCACTCGTTTTTTAGGGGTTCTGGTATTTTTTTCTTTCTTCTTTCTTTGTGTTTTGTTCGTTCAGAACATGTGGTGAAGGAGGTATGTCATCTATCCCACACTGTTGAGGGCGGCAGTTTCCAGATTAATTTCACTCATCTGATTTACTAGCCCTTTGTACTTCATGGAAGTACATTATGTGAACTCAGGTCTAGCACTGTAAAATGTTCATAACAAATCTGCAAAGGAAATTAAATTGACCTGCTTGCATTAGAAATGGGAAAACACTTGCCAGAATCATTCAAGGCCTTGTGAACCTAGCCTGAGCCAAGGGGATTTCTACAGGTGTGAAACTTTTCTTTGAGTTTCTGCTAACCGCAATGGATCACAAGAATTCACTTGTCTTGGAAGTTTCTTGGGTGGAGTTCTATAAACTCCAGCCCTGAAGTCCTTAAGACAGTCATTTCTTACCCTCCTAGGGTCTTCAGTTGGAACAAAATTCTATTCTTGGTTTCCTGTCTGAGATTTCAAATAATAATGGCAATTTGTTTCAGTGGTGACATTTCTGGTATTTTCTCCTCAGTCTAGAACTTCCTGCCTTCTGAGGCCCACCACCTTTAAGGAGGTGTTTGGCTAGAAATTTAGAAATCAAAACTAGGCCAAGATGTTGTTTCGTGGTCTTTGTTTTGTTTTGTTTTGTTTTA